TCGTTGGAAGGTCACATCAGAGAAATTCTTTAAAATATTCTAAGGGAACGTTTAACTCGATTCTGTCAAACTAACATGAATTTCTAATTAAACATTGGTGATATTTATGTATTTGGAAGGACGTACACGAAATTTATGAATGTAGTAGGCCTACACAAAACATTTTTTTCTGCTAGATAGGAATCGAAGATTTTCAAACATAATAGTATGAGCAAATCTTACTATCAATTTGATTACCGAGCTGGTGTCAAAGTTAAGTTAACGTACAAACACTTCTACGAATAGAGAGAAGAATAAAACAATTAACCCAAAACAATTCACACAATAAAAAATTAACGTTTAAAATATTAATTGACAAACAACAAATCCCAACAGAAAAAAACGTCACTTTACTAGTGTGAACGTTTAGTGAAATCACCTGGAATACTTGTTTCCGCTGTTTGGCTAAAACACTTGTCAAACTGACATGACAACGGTGATGCAAAACAAACATACGATGGCAAATGAACACCACATGTCAGTCATGACACAGTGAGCTGCCATCTTGGCGAGGCCTTGACTTGTCAATCATACAAATAACACAACACATGGAGAAGTTATGTTATTATCCATGGATGGCTCACAACACACGCACATTGTTGCAACAGTGCACTTTGAGTTGCTGCTATTAACAATGTTGACACCTAAAAACTATTAAAACAGGAAAGAATAACGATGACTCAATGTTAAAAGACAACTTCAACTTCGAGTAATAACAACTTAGCCAGGCTGTGGAGTGCTTATTGATTAAATATTTTATACTGTAGAAGACTGGGTCGTTGTAAAAAAATGTAGAGGATTTTGGCTGAAGTTTCAGTAGTTGTAAACATAAATGACTAATTTCAAAATCAGCTCTAGTGGCCAAACAATGAATTTAATTAGGAAAATACCGTTTCATCCAAATCGACGTTCCTTGACACAGCAGGCCTCAAGAGGAAATTATATCTAATGGAAAATGAAAAATATCTAATTCCTCGACACTATCGCCACAGTTGAAACATAGTCACATTCAAGCCTTAAATTGAAAACAGAAAAATGTATTGGGGCTTCTGACGTATAATGAGAATTTTAGCATGGGCAGGACAGCAATCCGTAATTCTACAAGACTACTGTCACGTTGTTTTTTTTTTCATTGTGTTTTACGAAATACTGCAATCGAACTTGTCATTGCTTGCATAACCAACGAAGATAAAAATCGACAGTAGTTTTCTTGTCCAAATCCCGTCGGGAGGCGAGAAAGTGTAAAGACCCGAGGAAAGCGCGGGCGCCGAGCCGTGGCCGGGAAAGCGATTAGTCACAGCTAAGCGGGAGATCCTGTGATGCAACGTACCTCAGGCAGACTTGACTACGAGGTGATTCCTAGACAAAACAATGCAATAGTGCAAATGGAGAATAAACGTCAGACTCTTTAAATAGAATAATTTAACCACGCAGTCGCGACTACAAGCAATTTCTAGACAAAAATTGAGCAAGTCCAATACGAGATAATCTAGGAATTCTTTCATGGGACAATGAATCACAGATATAATTAGCTTCGACAAGGTGACTCACAGACAAAACATTATGCAACAACGAAACATGAGGTAAACCGAATATCCTGCAATGTGATGAGATGCACCACGTATTCGTTTAACTCCAACAAGGTTGCCGGACAAAACCATCGATTGACACAAGCGTTGTAACAAGCAATAAAAGAATGTGCGGGAGATTCTCTAATGAGCAGTGAATCGCAGACATTATAATAACTCCGTAAAGGCGGATCCCAGTCAAAAAAGATGCACAAGTGTAAGACGTTATCGAAATCTCCTGTCAGGGGACGCAATGTAACTCAATGTCGATTTCCAAAAACATGATCAGTATCAACAGTGATTTTATATTTTCGGCAGAGGCCTCCAATTAACATTCGATTTCAAAATGTTGTACCCGTGAAAATTCTTTTCACATTTATAAAATGTGTAGGCTGTCTTCGTGTAATTCTTAACCTTTACTTGCAAGAACTTGTAAAGTACGGCATCGAACTGCAATTACTGAGTATGTATTAGAAGTTTGACATGTTCAAGTTTGGCACACCAACTAAATATTTTAGAAGTAGGCAAAACATCACAACACACAGCAATACAATAGTTTACTGGCCATTTACAGACAAGTATGTAGACTATTTTTGTGTCTGAGAAAAAGCTGTTTCCCAACTTATTTTTAATCGTTTAAGTTCACAATGTACTTACGATTAACGGGTTGCAAGTGTTTAAGTGATTAAAATGTGATTGAACAAACGACTACACGACGAGATTAGAGCAAGTACCTCTACAACGTCTTGAATAATCTGCTCATATTGGCTGAAGTACCTAGATAACACTTCAATGAAAAATCACAACCTGTTCGGCACTTCCGAGCAAAATCTAGTTCAACTGGTGAATTGGAGGAAGGAAGTGTAAAATAGGTCTTCCCACGGTATCTGAACATCCGAGACCTCTGATGATCCGCGATTAAATGCACATTTTGAATTAGGTCACTGAATCTACCATTGAAGACGTCGTGTTTTACATGGGCCGCGTCGTGAAGAACATTTGGAACTACTACACAATGGTTGATCGGTTTTCAATGACATTCCTTTCATTTGCATGCAAGGAATAATGTTAGAAATTCAACTAAGTAAATAATCGATATCCTATAGCATAATCTGAATCTCATTTCAAACCCAGAGTACGCATGAAAGATGTTACTGTATATGGCTGTTATAAAATGTGTCAAAAGGGTTAATTTTAGCAAAAGGGAGATGCAAAACATACCAAAGACACATCTTCCTGGAAAGTCCTTAAATGAATTGAACGAAATGTGAAGTTTCCAATAAGTGTCAAGAAGAACTTGTTGAAAGGCAATATGAAAAATGTATCAAAACTGAAATAGATTCTAGACTTGTCATTTCACCCAACACAGTCTTTAGTTTGTGATTGTAAAGAAGGATTTTCATTTTAATGGTAACAGACCCATCTAAACGACATCTAAGCACGGTGCTCATCTAAGACACACGATGAGCATCGAAGACGATGCTGCACTTCGACCATCGAAGTATATAACACAACACTTCGACCAACCCTTCTGAAGCGCCGTCGTCATTATGTTCCAGTCCAGTGAGCTGGAACCCTACTGGACTGAGGCTGTTTTAGGACTATGTCCTCTTCAGCCACCTGAAGAGTTTCAACCAATCCTCCATCTCCAGTGACGTCACCAGAGGAAGGCTGTCATCACAACATATTACATCTGTGGCGACCCCAGTTACCACGGACCTTCTGCAGCGTGAAAGCATCGCTTGGGCAATTTCCGCGATGCCATCTTCTCGCCCGCGCTTTGTCCGACAAGCTGCGCCGCGGACCGAGACCTGCTGTTTCTGTTCCGCTCATCGCCACGTCATCTCTGTTGACACAACCAACCGTCCGGACGTCACCGTGGAGAAACGACTCGTCATTGTCTGCGGTTTCTCACGACTGTGCGATTGTCAATTTGTCGTTATCGAAACACTGCGGCTTTTGTGGAGATTGTAGAAAGAATGGAAAGTGTTGTGGTCAAGCGAGAATAAAAGTGTTGCTACCTTGTCAACGCATGGACTAGCATGAATTTACACGTGCTTTTTGTGACTACGTTATCGAAAAACTCCAGCTTTTTAACGATTTAGAAAGAATGGAAAGAAAGACGACCAAGAGCGAATAAATGTGTTGCTACCTTGTCAACGCACTGACTGGGTTGAATTTAAACATGCTTTGCGTGACTACATTCCTATTTGTACAAATTAAGGATCGTGAAGCTCTAATTCGACTTCCGAATCGAAGTTACAACATAAAAATAGACTATTGTCACGTCACCATTGCTCCCAAGTAGAGTAGTAAAAAAATCCATGTGTAATCATTGTTTTATGATTTATCTAATATCAAATTTCCTGCATATCAAAGCGAGTCAGATTTTAAATGAATCGTCGATATGGAGTTATTTTAGTAAACTATGAGTAACCGACCAGTTTGGAATCATGTCTTGTGATTTGAACTACATCCTACATATTCATCCAAAAATAGGGCTTATGCCTTCAAACCAAGAAATGTCAAGACTCTCGACCCTTAAACGCTTCAAAATCTTGATCTTAACAGAATCATACTCGAATACTGTACTCGAACAGAATGACTTGATCGCAGTCCTGGACCTATCACAGCCTCTGGATAAACCCCCTTTAGTTGAATATCGCCTCTTTGTTCGGCGAAGATTTGCACCCTACAGTTGTCCATTTGTATATACAGCACATTAGTGGCTACGCATGTACCATTTGTGGAAGGGCGTCCACCGCTACTTCCTCCAGACCATTGTCCTGCATATCCTGCTCAGTCCTGCCATCCTGTCACACTAGGTCCTCCGCATACCAATCATCTTAGGGACGTAAAAACTAAAGAAGACCTAAGGCCAGACCGAGATGGCTCATCGACCACTGGAACAATATCACGTCAAGGGAACCTGTGCGTGGAGGCTGGAGAGGACATGGTCCTACGGTAGGGTTTAGGTTAGGGTGCTGAAACTTCACGAAAATAACGAATCTGTGCACTAGAGTAACTTCAATGGTTCTTCCTAATGACATTTCACGATCGTGAGAAACACATCTGCGAAAATGAATCAAAAAGGTTTCTATTTTAACTGTCTGTTACCTCTATTAGTATAAACACATCTTCCACCATAATCGAAACTCTTGAGACTTTGTGGTCAACAATTATGTAAAGTGTTACCACAACCAACATGTAATAGAATCTTTGTGTTTACGCCAAGCTAAGCTAACTAAATGTGTCGTTACAAATGCGGAAATGGTTGATAATCCACTTATGGGCTTGACACAAGACGAACCTTGACAAAAAAATCCCTGAGCTTGTAAGATAATTGTTCTACAAGATCCAAAACAAACTCAAAGAAACAAAAACATAACTAACCTGATCACAGATGATATCCCACTTCTTCTCGTCATCGTATTGCCTGAGGACCCTGGCTTTGTCAGGAGGAAGGTCCATGGAGGCCTGCAACAAAACACACAACTGTGAAAAAATGCAACACCCAACACAACAGTGAAAATGCAGTTAAAAGTATGAGGGAGATAACTGCAAAACAATAATCTGTAAGAACACCTACAGAATGCGCTGCAAGTAAACAGCCAAACTCCAAGAAATGTTTCTATGGGTCAAAATAAATAGAAAATCACGATTCACGAATGAAACTTTTTTCCAACTCGTTTCGTTAACTAGTTATCCGCCATTTTTTTATTTTACATAAGACATTTTTATCTTTCGATTGTCCTAACCAATCTCTATGAAACTTGGTAAATGGCAAGGTAGAAGAAACCTATGTTAGATCTAAATTAACTCGATTCAATTCAAAATTCCAAATTAAGAAAAAAATTAAATGCTAAAGTGGGGCATTAAGACAGGTTCCAGGCCATATGATACAGACTATAACTGAAACGGGTTCCTCCACAGCGAGACGATTCCACGCCCAAGTAATATGGACACAACCTTTCAGACGTGAAAGATGAGGGGCCCTGAACGACAGGTCGAATGATTTAATCAGAGGTCGGCATTGAACTTTCGCCCGTCCTCGAGTCTTCCCACAACACAACAGCTTCTCTGACATCAGCTGTTCATATACACGTCGCTTGTCCTACTGCCCCGAAATTGAAGATACATTATGTTCGATGACAGGAAAAGAAAATTGTTTGTAAATAAATTATATGGATTATGTTAACCAAGGTTTATTGTCCAAAAATAAGAAAATATATCAGATTAAAACTGTAGGCCTCGTGGCTTTAAAACGAAAATATTTATAAATTTGTTTAGACTAACTTATTTAATTTAGTTATAGTATGTTCAAATAGCGAAGGCGGTGGAGGATGGGATCTACTTGTGGAATACGGTTCGTAGTTATTGGCCGCGGTAGGTCACCAACTGCCTTCGATAATTTAACAAACTATAGTGGTCGACATTTTGATATATTGTCATATTATTCTGTGCGGTGGAATGTGATCGTTGGGTGGAACTTGGCTCTTTGCCCACCGTCTACCTGAGACTCGCCCAGACATTAACCCATTGGGCAGTCACCAGAAACAAGAAATATGTGAAGGAGACAAGTTCCACCATACAGAGTATATGTATTAAAATCGGCAAGAGAAAAGCCGAGAAATACAATTCAACTCTTTTATGTTACCAGTATTGAGGTTGACGTAAAAATTTTGGAAAAATCCCTAACAAACTATTTTAGTCAACCCCAAACTAACTCATCAAAGCAACAACATGCCATACCGTTACATTACTTATTTATTTACTTCACTAATAACTACAGGGTGTTCATTTGAAAACTTTCCATATCTGTTGTGTGCAAAGGTAAGGCTTTTAACACTTGTTTGTTCTCATTTCCCCCTAATTTGGACATGCCAAATCCAATAAAATTATTTCCAATTTTGAAAAATGCCACAAAAGGGCCCAATTTGGGGGGTAGGGGTGCTTTTTGAGAAATTTTCAAATGTAAACATGGGTTGTGTGATACATCAATTTAAAGGTCTAATCACCCCGATCATTTTGGTGCAAAAAAAGTTTAATTATCTTTAACAGTATTTACAGGGTGGGTCAAAACGTTTTAAAAAAGGACTTTGAAGTTAAGTACCGTATTACCCTAAATACTGAACGGAACAGCGCCAAATTTCTTTCCAAGCTTATTCTTGAGCTACTCTTTAAGATAACTTGTAGTAAGGGCATTTTCCATGTTATTTTCTAATTTTAAAAAAATCTCAAATTTTAAGAATAAAAGAAAGCTGAAAACTCAAAATTCTTAAATAGCACGGTATGACAAATTTCATACCACGTGAAAGGTCCTTTTTTAACAAACATATTACGTATTTAAGTTTTCTTTCTATCTCTTACCGTTTAAAAATTGCAGTGGAAAAACATAATTTTCTATGGTAAAATTATAACTAGTTTTCTAATAAAACACATTGCACTTTGTACAACGATGTAGTAGGATTCATAACAAATTGATCGACTACTTTTACGTGTGTCAGAATTCATCTTGGACTCTTCATCCTGTTCTTTTCTCATTGGTAACTGAGCCAGTTTCAGAAAACTTCCTAACTAAATCATTTACAGCCATATGACTCAAGGTTATACCTGGATATCTATTGTTAAACACTTTGCAGTTATCCTGGAACACTTTTGTTATGACCAATAAGTAAAAATAAAGTCTATTTTTTTTAGTTTACACCATATTTGATTAGGTACTACAGGAAATGGTACTTTTGAAATTAGTACTACCATTGACTAGTCAATGGTACAACCTAGGAGGATTAAACATTAAGGAGAGGGCACGCGAATAGGAATACACGTGTTGCGGTGAAGCCAGCTTTAGCAGAACACTAGAGGGGCACGCGGAGCCGTAGAGTGGCAAAAAGCCTCGGCTATAACATGGGAGAGATAGGGAAAAACGCGACGCGCGCTGTTTCGAATTAAAATTGCCGCTAAACTAAAACACCTGTGTTATTCACCGATGGCATTCTTAAAGTAAATTAAATTTCCTATCGAACAGTGTCAATCATTCCTATAAAAAATATTATTTATTATTTATTATTGAAGATCAAAGTTGAAAGAAATGACCTGGACTTTGAACATATGATTACTTTAATTACGTTTTTGAAAAAAATATGATGTATCTACACAAATTAACAATTTATTCGTGTTCCTTAAGAGTTTTTCGAAATAAAAAATATATATTTACCTATATTTAAAAGTGGTATTTAGAAAAATAATTACAATAAAGTTTTTTTTTATTTTTCCAGTTTATAAAACAATTTTACTAATAATAGGTTAAAATGAAAATTTTAATTCGGGTGATGAAATACATTTTAAATTTGAATTTTTCATAGTTTTCTCGATTTGTTAATATAATTTTTTTCTAGTTTTAAGTCATTTATGTGCTAGGCAGGTGATTTTAAATAGCCAAAGTTAAGAAAAAATGCAAAGCTGCGCTCTAACTTTTTTACACCAACATTCGTTACAATTAAATTACAATCATAAAAAGTAAAACAATTTCTTGGCAATCAAATTCTTGATTTTTTAAATATCATATTGAACTATATTTGATCTGTTTACCTAAAGAAACTTCGAGTAAAAAGTGTGAATGTTCAACAATCATCACGTCTTCTGACCGCCAAAGTGCGTTTATCATTATTTTAAAGGATTAAAACTTATTTTATTTCTCTTTAAGAAAATGTTCAAATACACATACAGTACTACTCATGATTTGAGTTTAAATTTATGAACAGTAAAATCCATTGGTGATATGGCGGGATTTGAACCCGGGACCCCATGAACCGGAGTCCCGCGCTCTGGTTAGAGTATTATAAATAATACACAATACAAGTATGGCAAAAAATAAAAACAAGGACAACGAATTCCAAAAAATAAGTCATCCTTGTGTAAATTAATTACTCACCTTTGAACGTACTATTGGTTCGTAAATATGACTTTCCTCTTAATAGGTTCCTAATATTACGGTTAGAATTTAACTTTTTAATTTTCGTAGGATGATGAAGTCTAATTTTTAAATAGTTAATTGATATTTCTGTTACCAAATCTTCCAGTAACGCATACAACGCAGTATGAGAGGGGGGCGGGAGAGTAGCGCTGCCTCCCCCCCTCCCCAGTACGCTGGCTTCAACGAAACTACAGCGTGTCCTCTCCTTGTTTAATCCTCCTAGGGTACAACAGAAAGCGGCCCACGCTTGGGTTTTTCTCATCAGCTATAAAACTTGTTTTTCACAAAGTAAAACGTAATGACTTGTTTGCCTATCTGCATAAAAATAATTATGAATTGTTTCTTCAGTTATTGCACCAACCATTTAATGTGTCTAGAGACGAATTTTGGCTGTTTTATTAGAAAACTAGTTACAATTTTACCATAGAAAATTATGTTTTTCTACTGCAATTTTTAAATGGTAAGAGATAGAAAGAAAACTTAAATACGTAAAATGTTTGTTAAAAAAGGACCTTTCACGTGGTATGAAATTTGTCATACCTTGCTATTTGAGAATTTTGAGTTTTCAGCTTTCTTTTATTCTTAAAATTTGAGATTTTTTTAAAATTAGAAAATAACATGGAAAATGCCCTTACTACAAGTGATCTTAAAGAGTAGCTCAAGAATAAGCTTGGAAAGAAATTTGGTGCTGTTCCGTTCAGTAGTTAGGGTAATACGTTACTGAACTTCAAAGTCCTTTTTTAAAACGTTTTGACCCACCCTGTAAATACGGTTAAAGATAATTAAACTTTTTTGCACCAAAATGATCGGGGTGATTAGACCTTTAAATTGATGTATCACACAACCCATGTTTACGTTTGAAAATTTCTCAAAAAGAACCCCTACCCCCCAAATTGGACCCTTTTGGGGCATTTTTCAAAATTGAAAATAATTTTATTGGATTTGGCATGTCCAAATTAGGGGGAATTGAGAACAAACAAGTGTTAAAAGCCTTACCTTTGCACACAACAGATATGGAAAGTTTTCAAATGAACACCCTGTATAACACCATTGTCAAATTAGAGTTAAACAAACACTTGCAAACGAAGGCAATGCCAATTTGTCTTTACACCAATGTGCAGATTCGTTTCAAAACTACCTTCCAGCACTCACTTACAAGGACCCTTTGGAAAGCTAACAGCATTTCCCACTCAGCAGAAACCCGAGGGACTGTCTTACTGATAACGGATGAGCAAAGCATCGGAAATAGAATGGAGAAAGTGCATACATTTCCAACTGGTTAAATACAGTACATCCAGCATTGGCCAGCTGTTTGTGACGGTCAGCTGTTTTTAAAATTGTTGCATTGTTGGCTAATGTTTTACGTGTTAGGTTTATTATTCATCAATAAATTTAGATGTTATATTCACATTTTAGATTGTAGGAACTTTTATAATAAAGAAATTGTTGTTTTAGTCACCGACAGATTGCGTTGATGAAAGTTACTGAATAGTGTCAAAAG